GCCTGGGAATCCAATATAGGATTAGAAAATATCCCAAAGTTGGGCAGTAACTCTGATAATGATATGAAAAGAGTCATTCAAGTTTTACACTTTAAAAAAATCCCAATAATATATTAAAACACGACAGTGAAACCAATTATGTGACAATTAATGAGAGTAAAATTTTATGAGATATTTAAAGAAATGATGAAAACAAACATTTTCTCAAACCAGAACTGTACTTCTTGCTTTGTTCTGTGTAGTTTTCTTTTATGTCCCTACAAATCCCACTGTATATTTTAAAAAATCATCATAGTCACTTAAATAAAACATCAAGTCACTTAATTTTCAACTAGATTAATAAACCTGAATAGAATAATTTAAGTCATATGATTGTCTGCTCATGACCAGCTGTTTTAAATTAGTGTATTAAGTAATTTAGACACTTTCTTGCAAAGGTTGCATGATTTAATAAATTCCCATATGCTTCTACATGTGCCAGCACTACTAGGTTATCTTCAGTCCAGCTGCTGTTATGATACTAGCTGCCAACTTTCAAACAACCAAAGAGAATAATGAATCAGCTTCAAGTTGGCTCACTTGGAAACTTACATTGCTCGAAGCTAAAATGTGGGCCATTTTCAACTGTAGAGAAAATTAATTAAAATGATTTTGCCTCCATGGTTTGAGAAACAGAGCTCCAAAAATACCACTGAATTAGTGGCTTGAAAGCCTGCAGCTGGCATGGTGCTGCATGCCTGTAATCCTAGCACTCAATAAGCTGAGGCAGGGGGATCGCTGAAAGTTCAAGGCAAGCCCTGACTACACAGTGAGTTTGAGGAACCCTGAATTACACAGTGAGACCTTGTCTTTAAAAAATATAAACAAACAGGGGCTGGTGAGATGGCTCAGTGGTCTAAAGCACCTACTTGGAGCAAGCTTAGCAAAGCACAGGGACCGCAGTTCAATCCCCCAGCACCACATGCCAGCCAGCCCCGCCCCCTGGTGGGCTGAGCTGGCGCACACACGCACACACACAAATAAATTATATATATATATATATATATATATATATATATTCCACCCTTACAGTTTCAGGTAAACTTCCAAAGCTTGGATTTTAGGCATAAATACTAGACATTCTTTTAAAGATTGGCTTTTTGAGGAAACAGATCAAGAAATACCTCATTTCTCATTCACAACAGGAAGATGTGAGAAGTTTCACACAGACTGAAAGAAAATAAATAAAATTCATATTTGTTAAAGGATCATTCCTCCCAAAAAGGCTTAAAAGACTTCATCAGAAATGACATACAAATGGAAAGGGCTATATACGTACAAGATTTGAAAAGAAAAAGTAAGACAGTATCCAGATTAGGATCATTTTATGAATAAGTATTAGACATAAGCAGAATAATATGCTTAAAAAGCACAAAGAATGAAAATGTGTACTGAATTTTAGTAAGTGCTGGACAAAACAATGTTATACTGGATCAGTTAACTAGAATATTTGTCCTATACAAAGTACTAACACTTTTGGCATTTCCAAAATAAGCACTCATCTATCTAGCATGAAGTTCAGTTAGTTTTTATACTGCTAAAATAAAGAACCAAAGTCTCCTTAAAATATTTCCTGTATTTTTTCTTTGCTTGTGTCTTTGGTACCAGAGATTGACCTCAGGACCTTGTACTTGCCAGGCAGGCGCATATGCTGCTGATCAGTCTCCGCGGGCCCTCCTACATTTTTAAGCATCCAAAATGGTTGAAAGTTATCCACTGGATGGATGGACTTCCTCAACAGGACAGAAAAATTCTTTGTCACTGTTATGGATTGTGTCTAGTTGTCCCTTCAAAGCCTCATGGTGTCATGGGCAGGGACTTCTAGAGTTTGAGATTAACTCATGATCCACTGGGATTATGGGTCTTAGTGCTGCTGGGAATTATGGGTGTGAGCACTTCCCCCAGCCTGGGGTGGATAGCCTGGATGCAAATTTAAGGGAGACAGACTTCTCTCTGTTGCTATTGTTGTCACTACTTCTCCATTCCTCTCTCTTGCTCATTGCCACCACCATGAAAAGATGCTCTCTGCCCTGTGCCACTCTTCCTTGGAGGCAGCTGAGTATGGATTGATACATCTAGTAACTGTAAGATAAATAAACCTTTCCTTCCTTCATTTTGGGTGTCGGGTGTTTGTTCCAGCAAGGACAGAAGAGTAACTGAGATAGTCACTAAACAGCAAAGCTGGACTGTACTGTCCTCATGGGTGTAGGGCTATACTAGTCCTCACAGGCAACAGGATAGTCTAAATGTATAACCTTGTATCTCTGATGAAGTATCTAAGAATCAAGTTATCACTGTTAACAAAGTGATCCTAGAGATATAATTAAGGGACCTGAAATATTCTCAGTTATCTGCTACATAAAACAGTACTTCACAGTTGCCATCTTCCACACTTTTCAAATACATCACAGCTATTACTGTGCACTTAGCAAGTTGCTTCTATCCTTGTGGCATATACAGCATAGTTAATTTAAAAATCCTCTGGAGATGGCTAACTAGCCAGAGTCATATTCTGTATTCCACAAATTCACAACAGTTCAAATAGATTAGGGAGAAATGAGTGTGAGATGAAGGTCTTCTCTAGGTATCCCCTATATCTTGTCCAGGAATCTCTGGTATTTCTAGTACAGGAAACACCACAGGCTCATGGGTAGAATACTTGTTTTAGGATCCCCAGCTAATCAAATACTTCTAGAAAAGCTACACAGATGCCTTATGTAACTCAGAATCCAAAGAAAAGGCTCTGAACTTAGTCCATAAATAACAGCAAGAGAGCATTTTCTAGTGACTTGATGTAGCTAGCCATTGTTTGAGTTCTATATAGTTCATGGAGGGGGCTGAAATAGTTTTAGAAGCAAAAGATTTAAGAGGGGCCTCTTCAGAACAACAAAAGGCTGGCAATGGTGAAACTGTTGCCCAGTAAAGATAGCCACAGTGACTCTACAAACCACCAAGTTAGCACTCACCCAAATGGAAGCAAAAAGAGGTGCTGATTCCTTAATTCCACTGTTATGGTTTGTGTGTATTTGTCCCCCAAAGTCTCATGCAGTCATTGAGATGCAGTTCTATAGTGTGCGATTCATTCATGATCCAAAGCTGGGATTATGGGTCTTAGTACTGCAGGGATTATGGGTGTGAGTGCTATACCCAGCCTGGGGCAGAGAGCCTGAATGTAACATGTGAGAGACAGACAGACTTGCTCTGTGCAGCTATTGTAGCTGATAGTCCTCTATTTTGCACTCTGCTCTTTGCCACTACCATGAAAGGTTGTTCTCTACCATGTCCTCTCTGCCTTGGAGCCAGCTAAGTATGTACTGAAACTTCCAGCAACTGTGAGCTAAATAAACCTTTCCTTCCCTAATTTTGAGTGTCATGTATTTGTCCCAGCAATGAGAGAAGAGTAACTGCGACACCCATCTAGCCACACTACTGCAACAATCTGGGGAGAGTCCTTGTCTGTTTTGCATGGTAAAATATTGCATTACTTAAAGTATGAGCAGTATTTGCTACTGCTTTAATAAGCAAGAGAATAAATTTTCCAGGCTTAACAATTTATTTCCAATTTGAAACATTTCCTTCTCCAGAGACATGCACTAAGATTCTAACATTATACAACTTTACCTTTATTTTTAGGTAAAGTTGTATATAGGAAGGTTTATGGACATTTAGTCATTTAGTACAAAAATGTCTTGACTGGGTCTGCTCAAGATCCAAAAGCCTCAGAGCTGGAAGAGATCTGTTGTTTTTCTGCTTTCTGCTTTGAAAGCTGTATATACTAATAATTGTAATTATGAAATCTCTGAATAAATATATTTTCTATTCACTGGTTTGAATATTTGAACAATTAGCTGTATTTGTTTAAATGCACACTAATTGTCTTTATTTTTGGTGGTTAGATTGATCAAGAAATGCCTAGGGGTGAAGAAAGATTAAAGAAAAGATGAGAAAAGAAGAAAAAAGTAAACAGGAGAAGAAAAAGATTTTACAACAATTGTATGCACAGGATAAGTGACTAATTAAAGGTGGAAAAAATAATTGCTTACAATTTGTATAAAGCAATCACATCCATGTAGTACTTTGACATGGTACAAAGGTACATAATTATAAACAAGAAAATGGTAACAAAAAGTTGAATCTTAATCAAGAAAAACAAGAGGGGAAAAAAAAAAAGGAAAGTAGGAAGTTCCATGCCACAAATATGCCAAAATAAATGACACATTCCCAGAGGGGATAACAATACCCCAGACTTGAGAAGGTCTGTATGACCTTGGCTGGCATCTCTACTTCCTGCCTTGTGTAATCACAGAAGGCATCCTGTGTTTGGTGATGATGAGTAGCATTTTGAAGAACATAATTATGAGCTGCAAGTGTTTTCTGTGGAAACAAAATTACCATTCATGCCTGAGACTGTGTAAATATGCCTTCATTTTGGTCAATAGCGATTTGGACTTGAAAAAAATAGAATCCTCAAGCCTCCTGGTAAATCACAAGTGTTCAAGTAAACTACAGGGATTAGTGTGTGAAAGGAAGACATTCCCAATCCTCTGCAAAAATGCTCATCAGTAGAAAATTATCTATTTTGAACTGACAAGACCTGGCCCCCACCTCCATGTCAAAACCAGCTCAGAACTTCAAAAGGCCATATTAAAGGAGATTTAAAGCAGACCAAACTTACAACAGTTTTCATTTAACAGATCAAGTATAAAAATAATCACAATTCACAGTACCTTAGAAAGCATTGCAAGCTCACACAAATGAAGGGTGTATACAGATGGAAGAGGATATAAGCTAAGAGAGAAAAACCACATCAAGGGTGCCCGAGGAAGCTGAAAGCCTTTGAAAGCTTCCAAAGTCTCACCTTCTCTCTTGTACCTTTAATTGTGAGGTGGCAGTAAGTGCCCTGATGCCACACACTTTGGAGAGGAAAAAAAAGTTATTTTCTTAAGTACTAACAGACTTACTTCTCTCTCAGAAAATCCACTACTCTTTTGAAGTCAGCCAAGCAGTATTCTCTTTTCATTTCCATTAGCACACTGTCAGAGGCAGACTGGATGGGGATGTGCAGGAAAGCATAGACTCGGGGATGGTTGAGGATTTTCGCCATTTCCTTAAAGAAATTGAAGGAGAAAGCATTCATTATTTGAATAAATCAGGGAGTGGTTTCCCTCAGATCAACACTCAAAATTACAAGCAAACAGACATTGCTGAAAACAGTCCCATCATGCAAGCTCTGAATAGCAAAGAGCATCAATAGAAAAATTCTAGGATGATTCTTAGGGATCCCTTTCCTTGGATTCCTCAAAAACAAAGATGAAATCAAGTAGTGCTGAATGAGCAAAAATATCTTCCAGTACATCGAAATAAGCACTGTCCTTCTTCACCTCTAAGTTTTGTTGTTAAATTAGCAGGAAAATCAGCAGTAGTTGAACAAACAATAGAAGCTCATCATCCTGTATGCTTGAGTAGGGAAAGTTTCAATTTTAGGTTAAGTCAACACTTTAAAAAAAAAAATACTGCAAGAAGAAAGGACTGCTGAGCCCACAGCTCATCTGTTTCTTTTTCTCATTTCAGTTAGTTGCTGGTCACATATGTTTTTCAGTCTTTAGTATGCAAAAGGCACATGACCAGATAATGAAGCCTGCCAGTTCACCCATACATGGAGAAGCAAAAGGGAGAAAGAATTTATGGTAGAAAGTCAAAAAGAGGAAATTTTAGCAAAAAAAATAAAAATAAATAAAAAATAAAAAATGGGGATACATGGTGTTTTAAAATTCCTTTGAGGACACAAAGAGGATACCAAATAGTGCAAAGGTAAAGCTGTGTAACTTAATCATTTCTTCAATCAAGAAGAAAAGTGATCAATTCAGCCTTCCCTGGCATAAGCTGTCAGGTGATGCATCAAAGAGAGGGAGAACAAGGAAAGAAGAGGGAGAAGGGAAAGGGAGGGAGAGAAAGAGAGGGAAGGAGATGGGGGTGGAGGAAGAGGGAGAGAACCAACACTAGTGATAAAAATGTCCAAAAGGAGCTACTCTTTAACAACTTAATGTGTTCAGCAACTTTTCACATCTGGTATCTCATTTCATTCTTAAAATTGTATTTTGAGGAATCTCGTGGAACCAAAGAACTTGCTAATTTCATATAATTACTTCTTAGTTATTCAAGAGTCAGTCATCTACCTGGATCCACATTGCCTTTTGATTTTCCATTTTCACTCACTGTAAGCATTAGCATTTTTTGCCAAAGTACACAGAGGAACTAACTCATCAGTCCCCCTCAGTAGCAGCTTAGTTGTTCTTTAAATAAAATCCTTTTCCCTAATAAATTCAGACTACCAAATAAAACTGTTTAATAGCTATCCTTTATGTCTTCTCTTATACTACAGTGGAAATGGAGTTTAGTTTAATAAGTAGTAGAAAAGAGACAGACAAAAGAGAAAATGAGAACAAATCAATTCTAATACTTAAATACACTTTCTGGGCTGGGTGCTTAGCAGGTTGTTCAGATCCTTACTCACAATGTCCTGTATATGAGGCACAACAATCCTTATCACTCTGTACTTGACAGCAAATATGTTTGTCATCAGCTATGATTCTCTGATTTTCAGGGTTTAAGATTACCAGCAACATTTAACAAAAATAATTGTATTAAGTGGCAGAACTCACAGTTTCAAGTGACTTTAAGTATTATTTGCTACAGTGAGAAATGACATAACAGATAACACACTTTGCTGCTAGTCTCTATGTGTTGGATTTCTTATATAAAACAGATATAATAGTATTAACCCCTTTATAGACACACTGGGTTATTGTGAAATAGTTGAAGGTAACCCAGTATATGCTTATGCAGTACGGACTCAATAGGTAAACTACACATATCTGATAGTTCTTTTACTTAGAAGGTAATTGAGGTTTGTGTTGGTATAATTTCATACAGATTATGGGAAATTATAGTTTATAGAAAAACTTTTCAATAAGCTAGTTCCCTAACTACCATGTGAAGGTGAGACAGCCTGTATTGATTTGTACAACATAGACCTGACAATACTTCCTTAGACATGGGGCTCCAGGCAGAGCAGTTTGTTTTGGAAACATTCAGGGTGGCTGCCTACTGTACACAGAATACTGCGGCAGGGGCAACTGGGCCTTGTAAGTGATGCTAGTACACAAATTAAAATGCTAATAGCAAAAAAATAGGGTAAATGTGGTGGCTTTTTTCTTCTTTGGTTCTCAAAGTAAGACTTCCCATCAGTAATTACCTTTAACTTCATCCTACAGACTTTGCAACTGTATAATGGCAGACACTAGAACACAAAAATAAACATGCCTCCCAATTAAAGCTTATGTTTCTGCCACTAACAGAATCATGCTGTAAGGAGATTAATGTACCCTAGAGAGACAAAGTTTATATTTTGTGTTTGTTCCTTTTTCTATTCACTTTTCGCTCAGCACCCTTGGTTAACAACAACCTTCACTCCCTACATTTTACGAAAATTTCTTCTGCTATGATTCCTCAGCGACCTGTCCCTGTTGGTGCTGCAGTGTTTCTTGGCTCTGCCTGGCACTGTGACAATGCATGTCCAAGACTGAAAGCTCTGCAGGGGTGGAAATTACATTTTACACCTGTCTCTCAAGCTCCACAATGGCTGTCATGCTAAGTTACTAGCAAATGTTTAAGTATAGATACAAGTCACAACCATTGCAATATACAAAGATACCTAAATATATTTATTTCTTTGGATTTGTAAAATTTTAATTCTAATTGACATAAAACTGCACATAATAGTGAGATATAATGTGCATGTATGTATGTTTTCTGAATAATAACAAAAATCAAAGTCAAATGTATTTACTTTTTTATAGGAAAATAAATTTGGAATTAGTGATAGTCTACTTTGGCTAAGGCAGGCAAACATACATATTCAGGCAGGTAAAAAAGCAATATAAACAGCTAGGCATGGTGGCACACACACGTAATTCTAGAACTCCAGGAGACTGAGGCAGGAAGATCACAAATACAAGCCTTGCCTGGACAACTGAGATCATGCCTTATAAAAAGCCTGGAGATGCAGCTCAGTGCCACCAAATACTATATAAAGATATATATGTTATGTGAGAAAAAATTATGTAAATGCACACAAAAGTAAAAGTCAAGGCACTTTAAAGGTAGCCTCAATGTGTGTGCTACATGTCTAAAGGTATGCCAGAGCTTCAGACTGCAGCACAAAGCAGCCTCTGATGGAGGACATCTATAAACGAGTGGGGGCCAGGTTCACCAACAGCAGAGGGGCACTTGGTTCTGAGCTAGACTGTAGCCAAGAGCAGGGTTTTCTGAGGAGAAGGCAGGTACATTTGGGTCTGCATGGTGCATGGTGCATGAGTACTGGAGGTATCTGGGTGACAACAGTTATCTACTTTAATATAAAGCACTTTATAATTTAAACTTGATGTACCAAGGCTACTTAAAATACAAATGTCATGGGCTGGGAGATAGTTCAGCAGTCTAAAGCGTCTGCCTGGTGAGCAGAAGGACTGGGGTTTGAACCCCAGTACCACATGCTGTGCTGGCCCCAGGTGCTGAACTGGCCACCCAAACCAGGTGTGATGGAGCATGTGCTAGGGAGGCTGAGACAGGAGGATCACTATGAGTTCAAGCTGTGAAGCAAGACCCTGTACCAAATACAATTAAAAAAAAAAAAAAAAAGGCAATTTAATGGGTAGAAACTGGAGGATGGCTAATGAAACAAAAACAAAAACAAGTGTTTCTAACGCACACTACTACATAGTGTTTCTCTTCTTAGGAGATAATAACATCATTTTGTTGGTTTTTATGATGAACTCTAAATATAAAAGAAAAATAAAGAGGGGGCTGGGGAGATGAATCAGTAGAATAAGCACTTGCCTGGCAAGCACAAGGATCCGAGTTCAATCCCTGGTTCTACCAAAAAAAAAAAAAAAAAAAAAGAAAAAGAAAAAGAGAATAGAAAAAAAATCAAGCTTAATATTAAAAAGCAATCCTATGAAAGGCAAAAATTTGTAAAGAATTGCTAGGTTTCATTTTTACTGCACTGCTGTCACCAAATGAATCATCAAAGTCTACTTGGTTTTACATAAATATACTACTAGCTTAAGAAAATCTCTCAGTATGTGAGAGGATATAAAATATGTTGAAGAATATTCAGATTCATTTGCGCTCCCATTAATAGTTATCCATCAGAAATTTCTCTTAGAGTGAATAGCTTCTTATGAAGTACATTATTTTTTTCAAAATTTTATTGATAAACAGATAGCAATGAGACAGTTTCAAATCAAATCGGTAGTACAGTTTCAACAAATAACACACTGCATATATTCTTCTTAGTGGTTAATTGCTGTACAAGATGTGGACTTGAGATCCTATTTACAAACACCACTAGAACAAATCATTCTATTCATTAAGAGAATGCAACTATATATCTATCCTAACCACTTTGAATACGAAGATACAAAATGGACATTCATCGGTATACCTCATTTTTTCTAAGTTCC